CTCTGTGTCCCCATGTCCCACTTGCAACCTCCACTACTGCCCCGAGCTGGGCAGTCCTCAGCCCTGGGCTGCTCCGGGCTGGGGGAGCATCCTCAAGGGCCCCCACCCCTGGCCATGCTCCCAGCCCCAAAGCCAACCCCAAAGGATGGAGGAGGGACGGGGACCCCCACACCAGGTTTTGGGGCCCCCAGGGCTGCGGTTTGCCTGGAACCAGTCCCTGCCCACCCGCCGGGTCCTTCCCCTCTTCCAACCCCAGGGAAAAATATCGGAGCGGAAAAACAGGAGAGTGTCTGACATTGTTCCCTCCGTCACATGTGAAGGCAAAGCCGGAGAGGCCGGGAAAAATCTTCAACAATTGGTTTTGGCAAGAAGAGGCAAACCAGAGCTTTTCATGAATTTTTTTTTTTTGTTGTTGCTAGAAAGGTTGCTTTCCCTCCAGCGGGAGCTTGAAGCACGGCTTCTTGCCAGCTCCATCCCTAAACCATCTCCCCAGGATGGTGCAAACCTGGCCCAGATTTAGGAAAACACAATTGGAAGTCGCAGGATCAGGCCCCCACATCCCTGGGGGCTGCAGTTGGGTGTGCGGGGCGTCTGCCCCCCGTTGTACCCCATGGCTTGGACCTGATGTGGGGGCTTTGCTGCTGCAGGTCCAGCTTGAGGTGTCCCATGTCAGCATGGGGTGGTGCGGGCAAACTGGGCCATCTCCCCAGGGATTTGGGGTTCCCCGACCCCCCAGGGCTGGTTGGGGTGTCCCACACCCCGCAGGGACGTGCTTCATCCCTGCGGCTCCTGCTTTGTAAATGCAGTGGCCACCTCCAGCTGAAAGCCACCCTGGCCGAGGGATACCCCGAGGGGGGCCACTGTCCCCCCCGGCTGCACCAGCCACCGCCCTGCCATGCCCCAACCGAAACCAGGGGGAGGAAAAGTCATCCGGGGGGGGGGAATAAAACCCAGCAGCAAAAGCAAGCAGGCAGCCCCAGATGCCTCTGAGCACCCCTAAACACCTCTGGGGCACCCCCAAATACCTCCGTGTACCCCCAGACGCCTCCAGGCAGCCCCTCGGGTGCGCTCCCACAGCACGAGCCTCCCACAAAGCACAGGCACCCCCAGCACCCACCCACCCAAACCCCATGAGACCCCCTGACCCCGCCGCAGGATCAGGCCCCTGCATGACACCAGTCTGCAGCAAACTGGGGGGGGGGATCAGGCTGTGGCTGGGGTCTGCTCCCTCCCCAAAATCACTGCCCTAAGCTAGGTGCTATGGGGCTGCTGCCTGCCCAGGGTCCTCTGTGAGGGTGGGGGGCAGCTCAGCCCCCCCCCAAAGCATTTACCCCACAGGGTGAAGGCTGCAAGAGCAAACACCCCCCTCCCCAGCCCCCTTTTTTGGGGGGAGTTGGTAGAGCTAGGAGGGTGCTCCCCATTTGAGGGGGGGGTCTTTGCTGGGGTGTCTGTGAGGATGGGCATCGGGTGGGCACCCCACTGGAGACCCCCCCTGCAGCCCCAACTCGTGATGGTACATGGGGGGGGAAGAGTGCGGTGAATTGGGGGTGCAAGGACACCCCGGGCTGGGCAGAGAAAAGGAGCTTCAACCGCATCTTTGCAGAAACGCAAAAAGAAATTACTATTGAGGAGAGGAAAAGGCAGCGTTTTGCGAAAAAAAGGGTTAAAGCAGCGCGGAGGAGAAGAGGTGAAGGCCGAGGGCTGGCGGAAAGGGGGGGGGAGAGAGGGAGGAGGGAGGTTGGGGAGAGGGAGCGCGGCTCTGCGAGAACATCCTGTACCCTCCTGGTAAAAACAGCCCAGGCCGGGGGGGGGG